GATTGTGGGATTGAATTTACGTGAGAATTATGGGACGGAATTGTTTTATTGTAATGTGTTATGTGGTAATGTATCATGGAGAAGTGAATTTTCAATGGGAAGTTTATAGTTTTGATGATTTTGACTGACAGGCGCTGAAAAGTCGGCTCTGGAATATAAAGGATTAGTGCAAATTGAGGAACTTGTATCGCGTGCTTGAACTCACGTGTGAATTATGGGACGGAATTGTTTTATTTTAATATCGTATATATTAACATATTATAAAGAATTGAATTTTCAGTGGGAAACTTCATAGTTTTGATGATTTCGACCGACAGGCTATGAAAAGTCGGCTCTCGAGTGGAAACGACTAAGGTAAATTGAGGAACTTGTGTCGTGGGCTTAAGCTCACATCTGAATTAAACGACAAAATTGATTTATTTTAATATAATATATATTAATGTATTATAGAGGAGTGAATGGTCAATGGGGAAGTTTGTAGTTTTGATGATTTTGACTGACAGGCGCTGAAAAGTCGGCTCTTGAGTATAAAGGATTACTGCAAATTATGAACTTGTGTCGCGTGCTTGAGCTCACGTGTGAATTAAGCGACAAAATTGTTTTGTTTTAGTATGTTATATATTAATGTATCATGGAGAATTGAATCTTCAAGGGAGACATTTATATTTTTGATGATTTTGACTGACAGGCGATGAAAAGTCGGCTCTCGAATATAAAAGATTAGTGAAAATTATGAATTTGCGTCGCGTGCTTGAGCTCACGAGTAAATTAAGTGACAAAATTGTTTTATTTTAGTATGTTATATATTAATGTATTATAGAGAATTGAATTTTCAATGGGAAATTTCATAGTTTTAATGATTTTGACCGACAGGCGATGAAAAGTCGGCTCTTAAGTATAAAGGATTAGTGAAAATTATGAACTTGTGTCGCGTGCTTGAACTCACGTGTGAATTAAGGAACAAAATTGTTTTATTTCAGTGTGTTATATATTAATATATTATAAAGAATTGAATTTTCAATAGGAAACTTCATAGTTTTGATGATTTTGACCAGCAAGCGATGAAAAGTCGGGAATTTTCTACTAGAACTATTCAACGGTTTCCAATGCGACGTAAATAAAATTTTCTAGAAGCAAATTAACACTGCTACGTTTCCACTTTTTCCATCAACTTAAAAATTAATTATCTCAATGACGTATCAGACGAACTAAATTTTGTTAGATTAAATATGGAAAGAACAGTATGACATATAACAGAATCTGTTAGTTTCTATTTATAAAATAGAAAAATAGAAAAATGACTCTGAAACGAGTCATTGAGTTGCTGAATGTATCGTAGTTCATCATTTATAACATCATTTTCATTATGTAAAACAATAAAAACTTCAAACAGACAATAATTTTCCCTTCAATATCGCAGAATCATTCCTCCAATCATCAATCTCAAACAGAAAAATTCGTCGCTTACGCTGAGAATCCCGTTAACCCCTTGCCCTATTTATCCCTGAACTATGACCCGCAGTCGACCATTTCCTAGAAAACGAAGCAGTTTCAATTCTACAATCGACAATAAATTAATATTCACATTCAACAAAAACAAAAAATAAAACGTCTGAAATTCAATTGAATTTGTTGAAAAGTTTGTAGGTCAACAGGTTAATTCAACGAAAGTCAATGTTCCCACGGATCAAAAATCATCGCTATCAATATTATAATAAAATTCTTTGTCTACTTGCTAATTTCAAAGAAACTATAAAGCTAAAACAAATCAATCGAAGTCACATTATAACATAATTCACCAACAATTCAAGCTTGCAATTACCAACATTTAACCTTTGCACTCGGAAGTTTCTCACTAGAAATATTTCAACAATCTCTGTCGAGATAAAGATAATATTTGAAACTTGAAGAGAAATCACACGTACATTTAGAAACAAAGCTATTTCATGCATAATACAAAGTACAATAAACATCAAATTCTAGTTTCACTCTACAAAATCAAGTGATCATCACCTCTCTGAAAGGTCAACATCCACCTCCCATCCCAAAAGCTCAAATCAAAAACCTTCCCATCAACAAGCACACAAAGTCAAACCCGGCGATAAACACCTGCCAAAATCCTCCAGCAAAGCGTTCTTCGCTTCCAAGCAAAGAAAGGCTGCTATCTAGCGATAAGAGTCGAGTCGAGTCGAGTCGAATCGGTACCACCACCATGTCACAAACGCAGGATCAATATCCATCGAGGTGGGCGTATCCTGCCTCCGAGGGTTCCATGCTCAGCCGGCCCCTCGCGGCGACTGGTCTCGCCGCGCTCGCGGCGCTCTCAGTGGGCGTGGCCAGGACTCGCTGGTAGGGAGCGTGGAGCTGCAGACCGGCGGCCTCGTAAATCACGAGCAGTCGGTCGCTCGGCGCGCATCGTGGCGACAGTGTGATCGATCAGCTCGCTAGTGATGTGCTGTTGAGCGTAGAGGAGCACCGTGCAGTGACTCGCGAGTGGTAAACGACGTCTCTCGATGTGCAGCAACGAGAGCCCGCCCCCGGCGAAGGAGCCGCTCGTCGGGCTGGGCAGCCCCATGGGCTTCCTGCCCGGCCTAGAGCACTACCGGCTGCAGCTCTACCACTACGCCATGGCGGAGCGGCTGCGGCTGGCGCAGCAGCTGCACCCGCAGCACCCTGGCGTGGGTCCGCCGGCGGCCGGCGGGCCCGCGGCGCACCTGGGCATGGGGCCCGGGTTTCCGGCGCCGCTGCCGCTCTACCCCGCGGCCGGCTACCCGAGCCGCCTCGCGCTGTCCATGGCGCTGCTGCACCCGCACCACCAGCGCGTGCCCGAGGAGCCGAAGCCGCAGCACAGCTACATCGGGCTGATCGCCATGG